TAGCAGCCAATAGATGTGCGTTAAAACTAGTCCCAAAGATCTCCTCCATAACCAAGCTCCCTGCAACGCTTTGGTACTTTTCTTTGTTGAGACTCTCGTCGAATAGACAACGTGTAAGAACTTTAAAAGCTGACGTTGGGAAGATGGAATCAGTTTTTGAGCTCTCCTCCTCTTCTCCAAATGCTGAAGGGTTCACCTGAGTTACAACAGCATCAGGACGGAGTTCACGTATGAGATACTCTGCGTCGGTAGCAGATCTTTGAGATAAGTTGTGAACAGAGAGTAAGTAAATGGTGGAATCATGCTCAGGGACTTTGATTGCAAACACAAAGGTTTTTGTACTCTCAGGCACGGCAAGTCTCTGAACAAGCTCCTTTGATTCCTTCAGGTCTGTATCCATCGTTGAAAAGGGCAATAGATTTCGCAGACTATCCATCTCAGAACTTTAGTCTTCTTCTTCTCTCGAACTCAGCAACGTATCCTCCAATCTAGAAACCTAGAGGTTGAGTAAAGAAACAGCACTAAGATGAAGAGACAATAGAGTTTTTTTCTTTTTTTTTTCTAAAGAAAAAATGAAGAGAGCAAAGAGTTCTTGCCCAAACGGCTATACTATTTTTAAGTCTGTCTTATTTGATAAAGGTGTAACAACAAAACAAAAAGTTCGTCTTGGAGAACAAGTAAAAACTTGTAAAACAAGCAAAACCAGAAAGTATTAAATCTTTTTTTGGTCAAAAAAGTAAGGAAATCTAGAACACTTAGTTTGACCAAAAAAAAGTTTATTTGTCTAACAAATATCTTACTTGTTATGCATCTGTAAATAGTAATATTATATGGATTAAGAGCATAAATATCTGCAGTCCTTGCTGAATCTTGGTGTGGGGAGCAACCATAAATTGCAAAAACTAAGAAGGACATGTCCACAAAGGAAAAAAAAACAAACAGATCACACAATGAACCTGACCACCTCCTCTTGTCTCTTCTCCGTGACTTTCTCTTCACCACCAAACCTCAATTCTACAAAGCTCCTCCTTCCAGTCTCTGTTTCACTTTCCCATTGTTTTCACAAAACTTCCTCGCTTGTTTACTGATCAGTCAGGCTGAGATGGAAATGTTGGCAAGAAGGTTAGAGAAACTCATAAAGCTCTAGAAAAGGGCAACGGTCTCTACTGAAAACATTTGTTGGAATTTGTTGCGGTTGAGACTCTAGGTTTGGTTCACTTGTAGTTATATTTGCTTTGACGCCAATGTTTCAACTTCTAGTGACAAATATAAAACAATGTCTACAAATATGTGTCATAATAAACTTAACAGAATGTTTGTTAAATCAAATGACAGAGGTTACTGAAAACATCTTTACTCTTAATATAGTGTCTTGGATGATTCTTTTAAAAAGAACATATAATTATGATTTTGTATAAAGTCAAGAATCAGAATCTCCATCCTACTCACAATCTCCTCCTTAATATATATAAACCATTTTACATTCCATCTGTAAACCTTTGGGGGCGCCATGAATGAATCAACTCGCAACAACCAAGAAACATCAAGTTTGAGCGGCTCGAGCAGCAGCTGTTCCTGAAGACCTTAATAGCGGTTGAAGAGCTTTTACTACAATACTCATGTTTGGCCTAAACTCTGATTCGTATTGCACACACAATGCTGCAACCGCAGCAAGCTGTTTGTTTACCATCAAACACACACATGTTAGCTTCAAGTAGTGTTCACTGTACTTTATATATAAAATGAATTAGTATAACCTTTGCAACTGCTTTAGGAGGATACTCTCCTTTGAGCTTTGGATCAACACATTGCTTCACTTTGTCTTCACTCAGCCTTGGAGTTGCCTGAATATAACATAAAATTTTTGTACATAGCCAAGAAAGGATTAAGTAATTTAAAGTTTACTTACCCAAGTGACAAGACTTTGTTGACCACGAGGCATAGTATGATCAACCGGTTTTCTCCCGGTTAGTAGCTCCAAAAGCACAACTCCAAAACTGTAAACATCACTCTTCTGTGTCAACTGTCCTGTCATTGCATATCTGCAAACCCACAAAAATGTACAATTTTACAATCTTTAAGTTTCTAAGAATCAATAAAAGATTTGAGCATATTATACTCTGGTGCATGATAACCAAATGTCCCCAAGACTCTAGTGGAATGAAGACGAGCAGCCATATCAGGAGCTTGGTTAGACAGATTGAAATCAGCAATCTTGGCTTTAAAATCTTCGAAAAGAAGAACATTGCTAGAGCGAATATCTCTGTGTATAACAGGAGGTTGAACTTGCTCGTGTAAGTATTCTAATCCTTTAGCTGCATCAACTGCGACTCTAACTCGTTGCTTCCACTCAAGNTGGAATGAAGACGAGCAGCCATATCAGGAGCTTGGTTAGACAGATTGAAATCAGCAATCTTGGCTTTAAAATCTTCGAAAAGAAGAACATTGCTAGAGCGAATATCTCTGTGTATAACAGGAGGTTGAACTTGCTCGTGTAAGTATTCTAATCCTTTAGCTGCATCAACTGCGACTCTAACTCGTTGCTTCCACTCAAGCGTTGGACCTGGTTGTGCTCCTTGTACTCCCTTTCTTCCGTGTAAGACATCGTGCAAGGATCCCATTGTTGCAAACTCGTAAGCAAGTACACGAACGTTTCCTTCAACGCAATAACCAAGAAGCTGAACAAAGTTGTCGTTCTTGAGTCTCGAAACCTTTGAGACTTGAGTCAAGAACTCGACGTTTGTGTCTGGTTCTGATGAGTTATCGAGTTTTTTCACAGCCACGGCCTTGCCATCATCAAAGTTTGCGTAGTAGACTCTTCCATAAGATCCTTCCCCAATCAAAGCCTTTGATCCAAAACTCTCAGTCTTTTCTCTGAGCTCAGATAATGTGATTGCAGGGACGTCAATAGTAGTAGGCTCCTTCGGGACTGAAGGAGGCTTCATAGGAGCTGGTGGTTTCTTATTGTTACGTCCTACACAAGCAAAGAATAAACAAAAAGCTACAACTAACTTGTGCAACAAGAAATGATTAAAGGGGGGCTAAGAACATCTAATTGAATAGTTTTTCATCAATCACAAATGTATTGAAGAAAGAGGGATGATTATATACCGTAGTCGAGGTGGCGTGTAGGAGGGGTTTTGGATCGGTTATGTTCAGATGAAGGGTGGTAAGATTCTTCTTTGACATGACATGAACAACATAGCCATCTACGCATCTTCCCTTTCTTGCCTATATCAAGATCGTCTGAAGATCTCGTTTTATCCAGCCGAACAAAGCGGCTGTTTGGTGAACGATCATTCCCCTGCAGGTTACATCAAAAACCACTCTATGTGATGATGTTCTAAAACGTTAAAGAAAAACAGAGGACTCTGTCATCAAACCAAACAACATTTGTCTCTATCATCAACCAACAACAACAATAAAGAGGTAAATTAGATTTAGTTTATGATTCTTGATCACCATTATGCAACAACAAAGCAACAGGCTACGAAATGTATTGGCCTAAACGTTAACAACCTTTACATGATCACGCAAGAGTTGGTTTTTGGTTATTTACCTTTTGGCCACGACGAAGAAAATCACGATCCATTAAGCAAAATGAAAATTGAAACACGAGCAGTAAACCAGAGAGGACGAATTAAAATGAGAAAATAGATAAGAGAAAAATAGGAACCCCAAATAGCCAAGGAACAAAGAAAGAAGAAGAAGAAGAAGAAAGAAACAAAAAAAGATAAAAAGGAATAGAGAGAGAGGGAAAAGGAAAGAAAAAACAGCTAAGAAAACGTCAAAAGGAAGCGACAGAGAGGGTACATACACATGTTCAAGAATAGAACCAACATCCCAAATATGGCAACAATATTAATGTTAGTAATTAAAGAAATAAGAAACTTTGAAGCAAAGTCTCTCTCTCTCTTTCTTTCTCTCTTTATTTATTCTTCTGATTTGGGCAGACACAGACATGGAGTAAATGATATTCAAGACAGAACAACAGATGGCTAAGACACGACAAAACACGCAACAAAATGTGAGTCTGGGACGTAAATCTTATAAGACAGCCTACAAAAAATGATATCTTGTAATAACGACAAGGGTTGTGGGCCTTGTGGCAAGGCAAGTACTTGGTGGAGTTCTTGGGACAGAGTGGGAAGTAAGATGATGATGATAATATTTGGTTCTGGAAGAGAGGAGTGTTTGGACATGGAAGGTTCTTGAAGCTGTGGAGGATGGTGAGGTTATTGGGAAGAAGAGATAGTGGAGAGCATGTAACAGAAAGAGAAGAATGAGACTTGGGACATCACTTTGGTAAGTGTCGATGTGATGGATTCATGTTTTTTCTGGTCTAGACTTCCACAACTAGGTTTTCAAGATTAGAGACTACAATTGTGGAGTTTAAGTTATCATTAAGTTAAGAAGTCAAAGATTATCCCTCTGTTCTGAAATGAAATATTCAATTGTGCTTTTGTCTCCATTATCAGTCACCAAGATCGATTTCTCTGTTTTATAAATTTCTACTAATAACCATTAGCATATCAACATAAAACAGTATAACATATAGTAGCTAATGTTAGGTACATCAGGAAAGCTTTCAAGTAAAAATCTTGCGAGACTTGGATGCTTTGGTCATCAATAGTAGCTTAGTACAAGCAAACAAAGAAAAAGACAAGATGCTTCGTTTCCGCATCAACGTTGAAGAACATTGTCTCTTGAAGTAAACTTGTCTCCATGTAATGTGATTTTCCAGCAGTCGAGTTGGATGATGAAGACAGAAGGCTTCTTTGGTACAACTGAATCCCACATTGATAAACAAAATACTAAGCTAAGGTCTACTTGAGCCTTGGGAAGAGAAAGAAAGATTATGACAAATTTTTCACAAATAATGTGGTGAAAAGCTTATTAACTTACCTCGAAGTTTATCATCTCTTGTGATTATTCCAAATGTTTGGGATGTCTCGCGAATCATTATGCCTTGTACACCAGTGAATGATTCAATCTTGCATTCAGCAACTGGCATAAGTAAAACATGTTGCTCTAATTAGAAGAAACAACTTACAATTTGAAAAAAAAGGATATTGCGTGTGGACAGTTCATGGAGGAAGCCAAGTCTAAAGGTGTTGATTAAACGCATAGAGAAGTTGATTTCTGAAAGTGGGAGCTAAAAGAACATATGATTACCAAACATGAAGGCACCATGAAGATCTGCTGATAGAAGATTTGAGGCTAATTGAGCCTTCCTGCACAAAAAAGGATAGATTGTGTAAGATCGATCACCAAGCTCAAAATGATTGTGTAGGTAATCAGATAAGAAGTAGTTGACGCTTACCCGGTCACCTTGATGAGTTTCATCATGTAGCTTTCCCACATACCATGCATTGGCTTATACAAATCAAACCTGCACTCAAGAAACAAGTGAACCAGTAAACATTTAAAAACTCTCTTCAAAACATCAGAGTAAGATGAGGCAGATCAATCTCTCTATCAAAGCAATAAACAAAAAAAAAAAAAAAAAAAAANTCTATCAAAGCAATAAACAAAAAAAAAAAAAAAAAAAGAGAACTCACTTTTGGAGATCTTGAGGCAAATTCAAAGCACCAGATTTCTTGAGTCGCTTCATAGACATACGGGTTTTAGAACGTTTTGAGTTCATCAGTGATGCTTTTTTAGAGCCGGAAGATGTAGAGGGCCGTGACGGTACGAAATTATCAAGAAGGATGTAGTTGTTCTCCTCCACCTTCTTCTCATTTTTACCTTGCAAGTACTTTTGAGCAGAGTCACCACTTCGAAGGAGAGTATGCAAAACCTTGTCAGCTATATTTTTCTTTCCACTAGAAAACTAAATCAGAAAAACAAAACACAAACTGAGCAACCAATATCTCAAAACCATACAGAAGAAGAAAGTGGTTTGATCTTTCCAACGACTTAAAACTACCTTAACATTGGCTGCCATCAACTTCTCATCAACGGGGTGATACAACTTTGTATATGCAGCAAAACCATCATCCTGGTGATCTACAAAGCCAATTTTCAATCAATATCAAAGTCCATTATAAAGTGAATCAATCAAAAAAAAAACAAACCTTTTGTGATTGGTTTCTTTGTAGGAGTAGGAAGTGAATGAGGTTTATGCGGTTCTTTAGAAGAGGCATTCACATCATCAGAAGCTCCCTTCTTGTCTTTATCATTCTTTTGTTGTTGTTGTTGTTGTTGACGAAGCTGGTCTTTTTGAAGTCTTTGTTGGATGGCATCCATTGAACGTTTTCTCGGATCATGAACAACACTCGCTGTAGCCATTGCAAGCCAGATGAAAACACTAAACCTAGTCTCTCTCTACAGCTGATTACTGATAGGACAATACACAAGAAAAAAAAAACAGATTATAATTATCATTCCTTTCAAACATAACAAGAAGCATACAGAAAGCACAAATCTTTCTACAAAGTCTATCAATTTATATAGAATTAGGAGCTTGTGATGTTATGAAAGCTCAGTTTTTTTTTGTGTGTATGTCATTAGTAATCTAGAAAGCTCAATTAAGTATCAACCTTAGACAGAAAAAAAACGAGTAGCTAAACTCAACGCAGAAACTAATCCAACACGAGTTCAGGTCTTAACCAAAAGACTAGCAAAACTAACAATGAAATTAACCTTACTAATTGACGGAGAAAGTGAGACCGTCTATTCACGGCTAGCTACTGACCTGAGTTTAAACTGGTCGGAAGAAAAACAGAGAGAAAACGAAGACAAAGTTATGTTTTTTTTTTTTAATGATGTCGGCCGATGTAACAAGAGATGTCTTCTCTATTGAAGAAGGAAAGGAGATGATCACGTGAACCCTAATAAACTCACGTGACATTCTTTAACTGTCTTTTGACGCGCGCACAATAAAAAAATTGTTTATATATATTTAACCCAAACCGGGAAATTGAGGCTGTGGTTTACAAGATAAACTCGGATCGCAAACCGAAATCAAATTGGAAAAATATTACGAACACAAAACAGAGAAAATATTTTATTTTTCCGGTGCATGGAAAGTGTTTTACAAATATTCAATACGTGAAACGCAAAAGAAAAAATGTGACAAGAAAATATGCATATAACAAAAAGGGCAAACCCGAGGGAGGTTTGCCACTCTCTCAACCGGTTCAAGTTTCACAACAAAGCCCTCTCAAATTATGTCTAAGAAAAAAGGAGAAAAAGAATGATGAGTGAAGATCAAGGCAAAGAACAATCCGAGGAACCTGGAGTACTTCCCGTGAAGCGGCTGGGGCATTTTATCGTCTGATATTACATATCTCATGTAAGGAAATAGAGTGTTCTGTTCTTGGTTTTACAAGTGGAGTCTAGTGTGGTTTATGTTTGGCTTTGGACTCTTACCGGTATCCTCCACCATATTGTTGCTGTTGAGGATTGTAACCGCCTTGACCCATCATTGGATTGTAGTTGTTGTTGCCTGGCATGTTCTGACCAGGGACCATACCAGGGTTTTGTTGTTGCATTGGATAGCCTTGGCCATAACCTCCTCCCATGTTCATGTTCATGCCTGGTCTCATTCCCATACCCATGTGTTGTTGGTTTTGGTTCATACCCCCGTATCCACCAGCACCCATTCCTCCGCCTCCCATTGGCATGCCAGAGCCTACCATTGGATTTGGTGGAGGTCTCATAGCAGTTGCACCCGCACGCCCTAAGCCAGTGCCTGATCCCATTGCTTTACCCATGTTTATAGTCGATGCTGCTGGTGGTGCATTTGTCGGTTTCTCTAGCCGTTTCTCCCTCCTGTTGATGGCCTCAAAGTCGACTCCTATGTCTGCTAATGGATTTGTTTTAGCTGCACATAAACAGAAAGGGAAGATGTTAGAAAATTTGCTTAAACCAGAGGAATTTTGTTTTTCTTTCACATGTTGTGGCGGAAATCCATCTTACGTCCAGATATGTTGAAGTTAACAAGCCCCTTGCTCAACGTGTCTGCCCAAATTGATGACTTTGGTTCAAACTTTTTCTGGGGCTGAGGAACTACCTCGATCGCTCCTGTAAAAGGTGTGAGATCTGGTTGAGATGAAGATGACGACAAGGAGTTTGTTCGCCCAGGTTGTGAAAACATGTCTCCCATGAAATTGTTGTTTCCTTGCATAGTAATAGGTCCGGATTGAGTTCTTTGTGGAACTTGGGAAGGTGGCATTCCATGACCTTGATGTGCCGCGAACTGACCAGCTGGTCCAGTAGGGTTAGAGTAAGGAGTCTGTGAGCTCGATGAAGTGGCAGAAACTGGTCGTGGAAGGAAACTTTCGCTTGTAGGGTGTGCAGTTACTGCTCCAGGATTGTAATTGGCTGAGCCAGGCTGGTGCATGAAGCCTCCATTGTGATACGGCGTGGCTCCAGTCATATTTTGTGAATGAGGAGGAACCATGTTATATGGTTGTACAGCTTGTCCAAATGGAGTTTGTCCGGGCATGTTTGGAGCTGTAGCTACAGGCTGAGGATGAAATCCCTCGTACATGTTGTTTCCACTGGGAGGAAACTGAGATGTTGGTACTGAGGCACCAGAATGCTGTGGGAGTGAAGCTGGAGGACCAGATGGTGGGAGAATGCCAGCAAGAATATCAATATCACTGTGAGATGTGGTGAACTGGTCTTGAGGAGGTGAGTTTGATGGAGGTTGCACATTTTGAGCAGGTTCAGGATTGGCAGCCGCAGAAAATGAGTCCTCAAAGCCAAAGTTATGAGCAGTAGTATCAGTATGTGAGGCCTCCGAGGTGAAGGCTGGAGGTGTTGGCTGGAACGGAGCGCCAAAGCTTTGCTGTGGGTTTGAGTCGGCGTCCGTAGAAGTGAAGGCTCTAAAAGGAGACTCACCAAATGGGTCATCGAACGACTGTATAGTGGGCGAAGATTTTAGTCAACAATAATAGTAAATGTTACAAAGAAGAGAAAATAGGCATCCCCAGTACAACTGCTTAAGCCCGTGTCAATACCTGAGTTGATGGCTGGGATGTAGAAAACGATGGAGCACTTGCTTGTCCGTTGGTTTCTACAGATGTAGAATCAGCAGGTACAATAGCCAATGCATTTGATGAAAATACGTCTGCGAGGGAATCAAGTAAGTCCATCTGGACATTGTTTGAGGTGGGCGGAGCAGTTGTAGAGGCCACTGTCGGAGGAGCTGGGGGAGCAGCTGGAAAAGAAACGAAGCACAACGTTCACACTTAGAACAAGTGGAGAGGTTGATGTAAATAACAAACCAAACTAACAATGAAAATTAATATCTACCGCGCACAGGAGTTTGAAAGGCAAAAAAAGGCAAGGAAATTCCGAAGATCTAACAAACTAGAAAGTGAAGAATCGCAAACGTTGAGAACTCAGTACCTGTAAACGCACCGCGTGGATCAAATTCATCAAAAGTCTCAAATTTCTGCGGAGAAGATTCAGTAGCAAAACCAGCAGAGTTATTCTCTGTGTTGCTTCCAGCAGGAGGAGAAGCAGCCCCTGGGGCAGCAACTTGTGGAGGAGGAGGAGAAGCAGCTCCTGGAGCAACAGCTTGCGGGGGAGGAGGAGAAGCAGCTCCTGGAGCAGCAGCTTGTGGGGTCTCCCCACCATCCCTGACATAAAAAGATGCATCAGAACCAATAAAACCAAGGTAGCTCTGAATCTGTATAGCTGAGAATTGTCACCTTTCACTATATACAGGGCTCCGTGATTCACTGACAGCTTCTTCATAACTAGGTGGAGCACCAATATTTTGCTCAGAAAACTTCCTCTGGAGCGACCCTCTATCATATATATAGATAATCCCGAAGTAAGGTGAAAGGAGTTGACATAAATACAGAGAACTTAATATAATAAGAAAAAGACCCAAACTTAATATAATAAGAAATTACCTCCCATCCTGAGAATTGTCATCAGCTCGAGCATTACTACCCCTACACGATAAAGAGAAATGTTTTATTGTATATATGGAACTAGACTAAAAAGAGGCTGGAAACATGATTTGTTGACATCAAGGACTGCTAAGTTACTAAATTGTGTTGACTGAATCTCAAAATAGTTCCCTTCGTCTTTATACCAAGTTTAAAGGTAAGCTTAAGCTTCAGAGAAACATACCGTGATGAAGAACGGCCATCATCCTCAAACGTCCTTTCCCTATCTGAACTCCTACCCCGTGATCCTTGTGGGAAGTTATCAACACTTCTGCTCCTTCCTCTGTAATCATCTTCCCTATTACCATCTCTTCCATACCGGTCTTCAGAGTCTCTGGAATGACGATCTCCATCACGACTATTTCTATCATCATCCCTGTAACCATATTCTCTGTCTCTCCCATAACTTCGTTCTTCATCCCGGGATCCGTAATCATATCTGTCCCCATATCCTCCTGACGGCTTATACATCCCACCTGGTGCTGAGCTGCGATACCTGTTGTAAAGATAATGCCAGGTTAATAAGTTCAGCTCCAGAAAAATATTTTTATTGAACCCAAAGACATATTTTTTATCTCTGCGAATTAAAAACTTTCAAAGCGAGAAGCTATAAGACTATTAAATGCCACAACTAGAAACTAACAGACTACTATGAGATATAATAATAGGCCACAAGCAACCAGAAAACAAACAAGTGTCCAGCAAAACTAACACAGAGAGGAAGCTACAGCAATTCGGGAAAAATAAACAATCACAACCTACTTACTTATCTCTGTTCGTAGCAGCCTTCTCTCTGACCTCAGCGATTCTTTCTTTGTCATTAACCAACGCCACTAGGCTCTGTGATTTCTTCCTAACATTGCTTCCTTGGTCTCTACCACCGGAATCAATATACTGAAAACTTGACAATGTCTGCCACATGGAAAATGGATGTCAGATAATCAACTGCTGAGATATAGCACAAATGCTAGTAACTTCTAAAATAGTGTACTGCGCATGGTCATTACCGAGATTTGATATGCACGCTCTCTAATCTCGTCTATAACACGTTCAGAACCATGGCCTACCATGTACTCCAAAACTGTCAAAGCCTGAAGTGGATAGAAGAGGTAAACCAACAGGAAATTGTTTCCTTCAATACTATATATATATAAACAGGAAATCAGACAAGAAGTCATTTAAATTATTCACCTTATAGACGTGCCTCCAGTTCTTTCCAGTGTCGCTAAGTCGTTTCCATAAGACCCCCATGATCAGCTGGTATTCATGGCTGCAAGAGAAGTAACATATCTATCAATCCTGTGTAATATCATAGCTACAACAATATAGAACACATGGAAGGTGGTAGTTGTTAGTTACTAGTTTCTTGAAGCTTGCGCAAGATCAGCAAGAAGTGATCCATGAGGACCCCATGGCTCATTGCTAGTAGCATCTAGAACCTGAATAGGAAAAAAAGACAGGTGAGAAAACAAAATGTTGTACATCTCGCTTTTAAATTCTATAACCATTATTAGCTAGCTACAGATGAAGAATGCTACCAAGATAAACAATTAATGGAACTGATAATACCTTCTGTTCAATTCCAGGCACTTTAAGCACTTTCTTGTTAACCTCTCTCTTGCTAAGAAAAAAAAAAAAAAAAAAAAAACAGAACATAAAATCAAACATGCTTAATGCAAAAAAAAATGGAGAAACAACTCAAGAATTGGCATTAGAATTCTTACAGATCTCTGACAGTTTGACCGAAGACTTTCTTCATCTTCGTTTTGTGTTCCAGAAAACAAACAAAATGCGTTAAAACACCCTCTACGAAGTCTGTTGTATGAGATCACGTCAACTGTTTCAAACAAAGACATAATAAA